GTCTCGAGCTCCTGAGTTGCACCTGCGTAGTCTTTTCTTTTCATCATATGCCAGCTAGCCCCAAAACAGCTACTGAGGTAGCAAGCCCACAGAAAGGTATGGGCTGGATAAGAGCCGCTAGTACGATTGTCATGGGCTGTGTCGGAGTTGGGATCTTGGCACTGCCGCGTACGGCAGCAAAATCCGGTTGGCTCGCTGCCCTGATTGGTCTAATTTTTGCCGCACTCGTGAACCTCTACAACAACATTATTTTGTGGCGTACTCTACACCTCGCCGCCGAGGGCAAAGGCAGAGTAGTTAGGTCTTACGAAAATGCGATGCGATACACCTACGGCATCGGCGCGTCGATCTACAGCGGGATCATCGTCCACGCCGGACTCATCTCGGTCTGTGTCGCGATGCTTATTTTGATGGGGAACACCACTGCGGCTATGACTCGAGTCCTCGATAGGCGTGTTTGGATCGCGCTGTGGACACTTGTGGGTATACCTTTCTCGTGGATAAAGGAGGTTAGAGACGTTGGCTTCATCGCGGTCTTGGGTGTAACGTCTGCTTCTGCGATGGTGATTGTTATTATTGTTGCATCGGCTGACAGAATGGCCACTGATGGCATTCCTGCAAATCTCGCAGTCGTGCCCAGCAATGTAGTGGAGTTTATAGCCTCTTTGGCCTCTTACTTTTTCGTCTACAGCTTCACTGCGGCGACACCCACTATCTGCTATCATATGACTAAGCCTGGGAATTTTCCCAAAACGGTGGTGGCCGCGACCATTTTCATCACATTATTATATTCATCTGTAATGGAGCTAGGATACGTAGGCTATGGTCAATTTCTAACGACAGTCGATACAATTGTGAATGCAATTTCCCCACCTGGACAGACACTCGACGTATTTGGGTGGCTCATCAATATTGCAATCCTTGCAGTCATGTTGCCGCACTATCTGGTCTTATTCACACCGACAGCCAAACAAATCGATGCAATGTGTTCCCACATCGGTGAAAGGAAAGGGTGGTCTGTTGGTCGGTGCAAAATTGCGGCGCTACTTTGTCGAACTTCTCTTGTGATCCTTGAAGGAGGTCTCGCCATTGTCATTCCCAAGGTCAGCAGTATTGTAAGTCTCATAGGTGCTTTTTGTTCGACGCAGATTACAACTCTCTTCCCCATAGCTTGCTACATGAAGGCAAAGAGAAAGCATCACCTGCCCTGGCCTGTATGGGAGATACTTCTCCATTCCTTGCTCGCTATGGTTGCCTTTGTTGTGATGGGAATTGGGATCTATGGTGCCATTATTAACTTTTGAGACTCCACGGACGAGAGGCATAGGCCATGATTTCATTGTTCTAGGCTAGAACTTCTAGCTGAAGGCTCTCACTATCGAACTGTTTACCTGACGGATTCACCATTCTTTCACTGAGGAATTATGCTACGCTTATAAAGCTTCCATTGGGTCGATGCTGTTGTATACAGACATATCGGAGATGAGCTCCCTCACAATCGCATCGCTTTTAGAATTGTGATAGTTTGTATGATGCGATTGGCTATCGTAGTTCTTTGTAACTCATGTTCTTCGGGAACCACCGTAGTGGGAGTATCGTCTCAAAATGTTGTTTCCAGTTGATCAACTGAGAGCTTCTTGTTCTTGACTCCGGCAGTACACTCAACAATATCCGGTTGTCGCCTTCTGCTGGCACTGATGGACCCCAGAAGAGTCTAAGTTTCAGACTCCAAGAGGGCACGTCATTGAGTTTCGCGCGCACATTGTATGACAGATAGCCCGACTCTACACCGCCTACGCCGCACTAGATTGTCGGATAATCATTCTCCGCGAGCTGCGAACTGATAGGCACAATATTTATCGTTGTGTTCGTCGATTCGCAACAGTGTCTCGTCTCCACACGATACAATTTTAAACTGCGAGAAGGCGCCGCCCTATGAAGGGTGTTCTTGCTCTGGGGCAGCTATCGGATGAATAATGTATATCATCCATTCATCACGGCAGTCAAAGGTGATCAGAGCTCTCCAGTATGTAGAATAGACTGAACTTCAGTCACTGAAGCACCGTTCAGATTAACGATAGACCTTCTCCCATCATCTACGAAACATTTTTACTGGAATGTGTTAGATGATTGTTGAGCAACTGCAACTTTTTAGTCCTTCAAGTTTATAGTGTTCTGCCAAGGCCTGCTACCTCTCTTGTGGGCCTGCGTGCCAGCTTGCACGTATGCAGCTGTGGTATCAAATTCACTGTTGAACGATCAATAATGTTGAGATTGGTACCGTAGCCGTGTTGGCTCAAGTTATTAATTGTCGACCACAATGCCTGGCGATGCTTTGCGTTCTTGCCAGTCCCCCGACGATGCACAGGCTCCTCGCATTCCCACCTCTCCTTGTCTCGGTGCTGATTCCTCTGAGCCTTTTGGAAGCAACGGTACACGCTATTCATCAGGTGCGCCCGAGCTGCGAGACAAAAACGTGTCACTCAGCTATATTGAGATCCAAAATATTGACCAGAATGCGTTCTCCTATGCCCGTCCGACTGCTCGCCTTGGTTTATGTATTTGACGTGTTGGAGGTCTCCCGAGGAGCAACTCTCAAGCTGGATGTGCAGTACGAAGATATGCCTCAATACGGCCCCGGATTGTATCATACTCTGATCGGCGAGAATGGCCAGAAGCTACATGCTCTCGTTGACACTGGATCGGGTTTTTCTTTCTTCATCTGGAAGAATTGGTACGAGAAAGCCAGTGGACACTCCTGTAGTACTTGGCCCATGGGGTGTTACGAATGCTCGGAGCCTTGCTCGGTGGGTAAAGTTACGGGAACTGCTACTTTCGTGGACAAATACACAGTGAAATTTTTCCAGCGGAAATCGAAACTAACTATGGGTCAGGTGTCGCAGATCCTCACATTCGGGCTGATATTCGATCAGAAACCTCCCGTCAGTGAAGCTCCCCCGACTAACTTGTTGGGTCTTGGCTATGATGAAGGTGATGTAAACTTCCCGTCTCTGATGACGCAGTTGCGATCATTAAAAATTATAACGACCGGGATCATTGCTCTCTACTTGTTTCCTGCCGATGATCCCATCGAAGCATCGGCTGATGGAGGCCTACTCTTGGGTGGAGGCGACTCAGCGTTATATGAGGGTGCATTGAAGTATGTCGACTTCTCTACCAACGAAGGGTACACGGTTAATATTGACAAGCTACAAGTCGGTGATGGACATATAACTTCTAGAATCAACATGAATCTAGATCTCGACACCGGTGCCAACGATATATACGTCCCAGTATCACACTATGACGCCCTCATCAATGATATTAGAACTCAAACTGACAAGGCTGCGTTTAAGTTCAACCCAATGAACGAGCACTGGTATTTCCCTTGCCAATACATGAGCAAGTTGCCACCGTTGAGGTTTCACTTGGGTCCTCAGGGCACAACTCCATACACGATGACATATAGGAACTATGCCAGGAATCAAAATGGTGTCTGTCTACTCATCATCTTGAGGTCCTCAGGGATCGTGTGGAGTTTCCCCGATCGTATGCTGATCGGTAACTATTTTGAGTTCGACCCTACTCTCAATCGAGCCGGAATCGGCAAGCTGAAACCGCGATCTCTATGAACAATCCCATTATTTTATGGTCTTGAATTTACGGTCTACAGCCGAATGTCCTTCTTTATCGTTGATCATTCTATGACCGTTCCGTGAGAAGACCCCCGGCTGGATTCGCCACTCTTGTAGCATGGTTCTACGAAAAAAAGGTTTAGAATGCTGTTTGGCGAATTATTCAGTCGATCGAGAGTTTATTATTTCGGTTGATGAGCTGACTATTTTCGCAGACTATCACTTATCTTACAGGTATAAAGACATTGGAGTTTCTTGAGTTCATCATGAGTGCATCATATTGTCGAACAAGGGTACGAAGCGGGCGCTTCGTGAGGAACTTTTTGGGGTGCCAGTGATTGCAACGCGGAAGGCGCGTCTCAGAAAGTTGACGAAAGTGCGCCCTAACAAATCGATTATCAGGGCGCGCGCTAATGTGCGTGCAAGCGCGCCTCGTGAAATGGACATTCCAGTCGTTTGAAGTGAAGGCGGCGTGTGAGAAGCATCAGAGTAAAAGAATTCGAAAATGCGCACCTACTCCAGCCACGTTGTGAAAAAAAGCGGAGCGTAGCGGCTATAGGCTTGAAGCCTATCGTGCGAACGCCTAACGACGCCCGCCGAAAATCCCGAGAAACCAGTCTAACCCCACTTTCTCCACGGTATGGAAGCGAATAGGGCTGAAAGTTGAAGCATATAGGTTTTCGAGCATGGGGAATCCGAATCTACGACTGAAATTAACTCAGGAAGTACGAGTGATACTGAACACGCAAAACCGGCCAGAGAGGGTAATTACTATAACTTTTTCTCCCAAAAAGTTGATAAGTGGCTTAGTTTGGCCGCTGAACTTCAGCGACGTGCCCAACATCGAGGTCTCAAATTCGAGTGATTTTTCGGGGATCGGCTCTCAATTTGATGATCGAGTAAGTCGATTTCGCTGATAAGAAAATCAAATTGAAGTCATTAATTTCCGAGCCAATCATGACTGATCATATCACGGCACGACTTCTTTGCACTGCAATCTATGAGTTGCGATGATGCATGACAACATCTAATGACATCGCGTTATTACATCATGGTGATGTAGGTCGGAAGCTCTTTTCATGGGAGTTCGAGAGTGTATCATTTGCGTGGGTAACGCAATGCAGGCGCGGCGCTGAGGGGGGGCACCGGGGGGCGGCCGCCCCCGGGGGCCCTGGCCCCGCCCCCCCTAAGGGGGGGCGAGGTATATGTATATACTGTATGACCTGTACCCTATCTTTCGCTTCTATGAGCGGGAGAAACATTCCCTCTGGCCTTGCGCGGCGCGATTCTTCGGCACGCACGCGATGTCACGCCGGGCACGCATGCTCATTTGCCAGCTCCCCATTCCTTTCGATGAGCACTATTCCCGAGATTTCACGTTTCACGGTAACTGGGGGTTTCAGTCGTTTAGTTATCGACTGATCATATACAATGGATCGTTTCCTAAAAAGAGCTCGTACCGGTACAGCGTACCCTGAGGATATCTCGGTCACTGAGGATGATGGCAGGGTTGTGGTCAAAGGGAAAAATTTCCTCGCCAATGATCAAAACAGGTCATTCCTGCCGGCTTGGCAAGACAAATATCCTTGGTTGGAATACTCAACCCAGAAGGATGCTGTTTACTGCTACTACTGCAGACATTTTGGGGCTCCAACGGCGGCCAAGCCATCCCCGTTTTTCGATGACCCGCATGGATTTTCCAACTGGAAAAAGGCTGTCCAGAGATATGACGAACACTCTGCTAGCGAATATCATCAGAACTCTACCAAGGGCTACTTCGAATGGAGCAGGATGAAGGAGAAGGGGCAATCAGTAGTTAGTTAGTTAGTTAGTTAGTTAGTTAGTTAGTTAGTTAGTTAGTTAGTTAGTTAGTTAGTTAGTTAGTTAGTTAGTTAGTTAGTTAGTTAGTTAGTTAGTTAGTTAGTTAGTTAGTTAGTTAGTTAGTTAGTTAGTTAGTTAGTTAGTTAGTTAGTTAGTTAGTTAGTTAGTTAGTTAGTTAGTTAGTTAGTTAGTTAGTTAGTTAGTAAGTTTGTTTGTTTGTTTGTTTGTTTGTTTGTTTGTTTGTTTGTTTGTTTGTTTGTTTGTTTGTTCGGGAGGCACGACATCTGCCAGTCGTAGCAGTATGGTCGTATCGCCTCTTGCCACCATAGCAGGCAGCAACTGATCGGTTCATCAGAACCTCTTCTTGACCTGATACATAGGCCAGCCCAGCCCACGTCTGACTCTTTATTAATCTACGTAGTTCTCCTTTTCTTACCCTCGCCCCATTTGGGCGCTACTCTGGCAAGGAACTTACGTAGCCGGTATATCTCACCAGCCTTCCCGATAAGACACTCCCTGATCAGTGCCATTCCTTTGCCAGTCCTCTCACCTGCACTGCATGAGTACAGGGGGTCATGAACCCATATCTCCTTCCTGACACGACTCATTCTCAGGGACGCACACCAAACGAAGTGTGCGAGTGTTTCCTTATATATTCCGCAGTGTCGGCATCTTCTTCCGCCATTCCCTCTTGAAAGATGCTGCACGAAGCTCCTCGTTGGGCTGTGAAAGCTCAACATTTCGAACAGTCGTCTCCTATCTCCAGGCTTCCATTTAAGGGTGTGCCGAGTGATTCTGTTGATTTGTTTCCTGCCAAGTCCCAGTCCGAACCTCGCAATCGCAAGGGAGCCGCGCTGTTGCCTCCAATCCATCTCCAACTGGACTTCTGCATGTTGTACTATTTCTCGGCGTGTAGCCGATTGAGGTATCTGAACATTCAGGAAGGCAGCGCCGGCTGCTCGACGAGCTCCTCGGCCTGCGCTGATATCAGCTAGTTCGTTAAATAAGTGTCCGGCATGGCCTTTCACCCACCATAGATACACCTTACTAGGAGGCGTCCCTATATGGGACGAGATATTGCTGTGATCGGTCCATCTCTCGATGAGCTGCAGAATCTCATGCACCAATCTGGTACTACCTCGAAATCCTTCGTAGGCCTGGCCGATTGCCCGCAACGCTGCTTGCGAGTCGCAGCAGATAAGAATGTTGCGGTGTCGCTCCCGCTCGGTTGCGTTGAGAGAAAGAGCCCATTCCAGAGAGCTCTTGATCCCAAGTAGTTCACACTGTGCTATATTAGCAAGAGGACTAGTGTAATATGATCGACTTTCATAGTTATCCGAGGGAAGATCCAGCGGCCTCACTACCCCTATTCCCGTCTTCGCGGCCTTGTTACCTCTATCGGTGATGGATCCGTCTGAGAAGAACACAAGTCTGTCATCGCCCACTTGTTCAGGGGGATATCCTGTTCCGATGGTGATCTGGAGGGCATCGCGCCGTGATTCCATGGGCGATGATGACCAGTATTCCAGCCTCTCCGAGTTATTGAGTTCCGTCACTCCCCAGGCTTTGATGTGCTTAGCCGCCTCATGCGACGGTCCCACATGGTTCTCTCTCGTCCTGTGTAGATTAAATGAGGCATATCTGATGCGGGCTTGCACCCAGAGAGGGATGCAGAAGGATCCTAGCATCCGTATAGCGAGCCTGTTCGGCACAGATCGCGCGAGTCCGAATAGCCTCTTCACGAAACGCGTTTCGAGGGATTCTAGTAACACTCTTGCCCATTTGAACGATGTACAACCCCCCCCATACCTGGCAACCATAGGTTGCTATGAAAGTGATGTGCGTTCTCCATGCTAAAGCTGCAAGGATCACCGAGATTCCATAGTCCTTACCAAGCATTTTATTGAGGTTCATCAGACACCTGAGTGCCTTACCACCGGTTCTTTGGAGGTGAAGCTTTCAGTTTGTACCTGGCGTTATCCAATAGCCGAGCCATTTCATGCTCGGCTTGATGCCGTCGGCTATGAATTGTAGCTCGGTGTTGCTCAGCACAGAAACCACATGTGAAGTGGTACGGTCACTGTCAGTGATCGATTCAGATTTTGTTGGGTCGAGATCAAGTTCAGACGAGGCGCAAAATCCCATCAGTACTCCGTGCGCATTTACAAGGCCCTGGCAGAGTCCTAGTATGCCCGCTGCTAGGATTTTTATGCATATACCGTCTGCAAAGAGTGCTACTTCGATCCTGTATGGTCCACTAAGGCATGAAATCTTTTTCGCCGTCCGCCAGGTGGCAGCAGAAAAGCACACAGGTGCAAGTACCCCTCCCTGGGGGATTCCGATTTTCCTATAGGTTTTACTGGATCCTAAGTGAATGTCACCATCACGAAGATACGAAGCTATGAGAACACCCCAGGCTGGCTTACCCGTTAGGGCTACGATTTCTGTTGTAATGTTGCCATGACTGATCTTATCAAAGGCCGATGCCATGTCAATGTCGAGGTTATCGAGAGGTCAGATTCATTCGGTTTCGTGAAAGATACAGTTGAGTGTACCGCAGTGCTGGTGTTACGTCCTCTTTGGAACCCATGGATGCACGGAGGTGTATCCCCGAGGTGCTTCACCAGGCGGTTCTTTAGGATCGTCTCGAGGAATTTCCCGAGGCAGGAGGTCAAGGCTATTGGTCTCCAGGCTTTGGGGCCCTGGCGACCATTGTTTTTGAAGATCATGACGAGGTCTGCACGCTTAAAGCAACTTGGAAAGTGTGCAAGCCTCATCATTGCCTGGAGCAACCGCTTTATCGAGAAGCGAAACCAGGTGGAATTGTTGACCGCGTATATGATATGCTCGTTATGAATCCCATCCCATCCAGCCGATTTCTTCGGCTTCAACCCTTTGACCGCTCCGTCAATCTCTTGGTTCGACACCGGACCTCCGAGCTCTTCTAGGTTGTCTATGGCCTGGCGGCTGCCACTGCCATCCTGCTGTGGATCAGGCGGTCCAGTAATACCGAAGAAGTGCTCTAGAATCTCGTGGTCATCATATGTTGCCAAGGTCGGGGTGCGTGGTTTGAACCTGCGATGAAGCTCAATCTCGTCCATGGACTCAAGTCTCTGTGTGAAGTATTTCCGCTTGGCCGCTTTGATAGCATTGGAGTAGCCTCGCTTGGCCGCCTTAAGCTGGACTCTGAGCGAGTCACGCATATTGACGTGACTTCATATATGAAGTCACGCGTTTTTATGTATTTTCTATTTGTAAAAGTTGCGCACAATGGAACCACTGAAACCCGGCACCTGCTCATCCGCCCCCCAAAATCCACTACGAGATCACGGGCTGTCCAAACAAAGGGTGAGAGAGAGGCAGACAGACCGCAACCTTAAATGGGTTCTCATCGACAGCACGAGGTTTCTAACTCGCGAAAGCTATAGCCAAGTGAGTTAAGAGCTGAATCAGCTGAGCAGCTCAGCTGATCTCCTTAACCACTAGAGCACATCGTCTGTTTGATGAGTTTACCCACTGAGCTGTGGTTTGATGCTAGCCAGCTCGCTCGGCGAGCATGACAGAGACTCTGTGCGAGAGTCTTTAGTCCGTTCGGCGAGCCACAGCTGTGGGAGCCAGTCATATCCTGTCAGTATGCGGCCGGTGGTGATGCATCATCGAGGCTTACTCGATGAGCGGCTTCATCGCTGGTCGTGACGCTCACGAAGAGGGGATCTCAGCCGTGGCTGGATCAGTGACGATTCGGAGCTTCTTACATGCGTCCAGCCGAGGCTGCTGGCCCGATGCAGCCTTGTAGGCTGTAGATCGTGGTGGCCACAGCTTCCACACAATGGTGGTGGCGGCTGAGAGCACAATGACAGGATGTGGATATCTGACTTGATGATCGCTGGCTGACGGTTGGCCGGAGCATTGTCAAGTGAAAGATAGGGCAGGAGAGGAGAAATGTCCCGGGCGGGTTCGGGATGGAAAACAAAGGAAAACAAGTCTCGAGAGGCCGAGCCAGCAAAATGGCGTCTCGAACTTTTTACCAACGTGTGGCACAATTATTGTCCCACAAGGATCGGGGAAGAGTCGTTCCCCGATAAGCCGGATCTCGATAGATTTTGACCGGTTGATAGTCAGGGCCTAATACAACCTTCGGCTGTGTTATGCCCACTGTCAACCTCGCACCAAATTCGTCGCCCCTAAGGTACTCAATCCGCCCCAAAAATTGCTCAATCCGCCTCTAAATGACTCGTACCGGCCCCTAACTTTTCAAGCTACCCGAGCGTCCCTGAAGCTTTACTGCAAGCATGTCAGTTGGCTTTGTTGACTCAGTCAACTTGACTGCCATGACATCTTGAGGAGAACTCTTGTGCATCACGCTTGACCTTGGCCGTCTCAAAGACACATGTTCGAACTTGACCAGCCACTGGCTTGAATGTTTCGAAACCTTGGCCGACGCAAGGATCAATCTAGTTTCACATCGTTGTGTTGAGCCGTGCTATCTACTGACCTTGGCCGCCCTGAACACGTACTGAGTGTATTGAACTCCACCACGTTACTACATTTATTAGCTGAGCACACTGGTATGGGTTACTGAGACAGAGACTGTGCCATGTATGTCAGTCTCAAAGAAGCTGGTACGATAGCGGATGACTCATCCAACTTTAGAACGCATGTGGCATATTTGAGCAATTCAGGGGCGGATTGAGTAATTTAGGGGCGGGGCAAAGAATCCGGTTTTTTGAACCTATGCTATATGCGATAACTATTGGAGTTATTAGGCTACTAGGGATATTGAATTTGCGTTGTGGATTATGCTCAGAAATAGTATGTGAATAATCTTCTTCTGAATTACCGAAGAACAATCTCGAGGGTTCGTCGAGGCTCGAGGAAAACGCGCAATCTGACCGAACCCGGGGAATACCATCCTTTCGACCCGGGGAATCGGCATCTGCCGAATATCTGGCTGTCGCCGCGACTGGCAGCGTGCCACAGCGAAGTGATTCGCCTCGGGCGAACAGCAAGGTCGTGCGCGGGTATTCAGTATCTCGCAGATAGAGCCTATCCGAGTCAGGTAATCAGACAGCCTCCCAATGCCTGAGGCTATCAACTGAGCGGTCTAGCCTCGACCCTTACTTTTTCTTCGCGTGGAAGTGCTTTGCTAAAGGCATCCTGAATTG